TTTATATTAATTTTAAATATAACTTATATATTTAAATATAGTTATATATATAATTTATTATAAATTTTAATTATATATAATAAATATTTTTATGTATTGTACAAGTTAAAATATTAATTTATAAATAATTGTAATATTAAAAAAATTAGTCATTCTAACTTTGGTAAAAAAAATTAATTGAAGAATACAAAATATGATACAAAATGTAAGCATCATTCTCTATGCAGTAAGGTAAATTAGTTGTTGAAGCTTGTTCAAAAAATAATTGAAATCATGCTGAAAAAAATAATATTATATTTTTCAATTACCTATTTTAAAATTTAAATTATGAAAAATATATTTATAAAAATAAGAAAAATGAAGTAATTATACATAATAATAAGGCTTCAATTGTTTTTCTTATTTAAACATAAATTCTCGTTATAGATAAAACAAATTATTTATGTAAAATTATGTGATAGTCTACAAGATAAGTATGTTTATTAAATTTGTTAATAATTTAAGAGTTTATAAAAAAAACTTAAATATATTTTTAGTCTCTCAAATTTAAGGTAAATTTTTTTTAGTCCCTCAAATTTTAAATTGGTCTTTTTAGTTCTTGTAACATTAAAAGATCTTGTTTAGTCCTTATACTAAAATTTTGTTAAAAAAAATAGTCAAATATTGTCGCATAAAATTCACTTACTCATGTTCCTATTAGTAAAAATATCATATTAAATTTAGTTGATATTGCATAATTTTTTTAATTTGTCACTTTCACATATGTTATTAGTGACTTGGGGGATTAAAACAAGATTTTTAAAAATTACAACGAATAAAAATAACAATTTAAATTTTAAGGAATCAAAATTAAATTTATCTTAAATTTAGAGGACTAAAAACATATTTAAATCTTATAAATATTTATAAAATTATACAAAAATAATGTTTAAAAATTTAAGGCTTAAATATGTTTTTAGTCCCTCAAATTTAAGACAAATTTGTTTTTAGTCCCTCAAATTTAAAATTATTGTTTTTAGTCCCTGTAATTTTTAAAAATCTTGTTTTAGTCCCTTAAGTCACCAATAACATATTTAAAAGTGACTAATTAAGACAGTTATGCAATATCAATCAAATTTAATATGATATTTTCACTAATAGAAATACTAATAGGTAGATTTTATGCAATAATGTTTGATAAATTTCTTAACAAAATTTGAATAGAAGGACTAAAATAAGATTTTTTGAAATTACAGGGACTAAAAATAATAATTTTAAATTTGAGGGACCAAAAACAGATTTATCCTAAATTTGAGAGACTAAAAATATATTTAAGCCAAAATTTAATAATCTTGTAAATTCATATTATGAAATGATAAAATAATTCAATCATTTTATAACTATATTATAAATAAAATAATTTTTTTTAATTTGATTTTATTTAAAGTTTAATTTATGTCATGCATTGAACATGTATCTGACTATACAATCCTAGTTATTATTTAAAGAGACATTATTTTTATATTTTAAAAAACTGTTAAATAGTTTTGTTAATTTAAATATCAAATGTTAAAAATAATTTAATTATTTTATGACTATATTTTAAATAAAAATAAAAGAAAAAAGTGTTTAAGTCGTATAAATTTAGTTCTTTTACATATATACTCTATAAGTTTTAATTTCATCACATTATTAATAATTTGTCAAATAATTGATTTTGTAGTTATAGTGCTAAAGTATGAACCAACTTATCTTTAAGGGTTAAATATGTTTTTGGTCTTCCAAAAGTTGACTCTATTTAGTTTTAGTCCCTAAAAAAAATTCTTGACTTTAGTCCTCCAAATTTATATAATATCTATTTTTAATTATTTTTCAAACACTATTAACTTTTTTTGTTAAAATAGGTTGTCTCAATACCTAAATCACCATTAGTTTTATTGACATGGAACCTTTTTAATTTAAAATATTAATTATTTTATGATTAAATTAAGATTTAGAATAAAAGCAAATTTTATATTTAAATTTTTTTACTATTCATCCTCAAACTCAGACATAGAGATTCTAGTATTTTATTTTGCTATTTGTTTCTCTATTTTGGTTTTATCCTCAATAAAGGAAGTTAAGGGCTTCTTATTTCTGAAAGACATCACTATATAACACCCCCAAGCTTTCTAAAATTATTAAGAGAATATTTTGATTAATTAAAAGGTTTTATAAAATATTTTAGAGGTTTTTAACAATTATGATTATTTTAATTAAATAATAAATATTTTGTGAAAATTATGTTGTATAATATTTATTAGAGAAATATGTATTTTTATGACATTTTATTATAATAAGTATTTGGAGAAGGATGTGTTTTTATTATATATTTTATTTTAATTATAATGATGTTGGAAGAAATATGTTTATTTTATATATTATTTATTAATTAATAAGTTTTAATATTTTAGGGAACAGTAAAAATAATTGTGGTTAAAGTATTTTTACTAAAAGGTCAAGTGTGAGTCAAGTTTTTTTTAAATAGGGGGGTTTTTATGATAGTTCTTTTTATTTTTACTCTTCTTATTTTTCATATTACACATACGCTCTAAAGAACGAGGAGGAGAACTAGAGCTCGTAAGAGAACATCTCGGAGATTCATGTCCTTCATCAAATGTTCATCATCAAGGTAAGGGAAGAGTGAGTATCTTGCTCTAGACGTGGGATGTATGTTGGGTAGTAGGATTGATCCTCAATCCCTTTTGTGTTGTTTGTATTGTATGAAAGAGGTTTGCAGAATTGATTGCATTATGTATTTTTTGTCTTCTATATGATTTTTTTTATTATTTTATTTGATGTTGTGTAGTTGTATATGTCTCCAATTTCACGATTGAACCTATAATTGTGAAGTTTGAATTGCTTGTGGGTTTCCATGAGAACCCTAAATGTTTATTATGTGAGTAGTTTATAGGAGTATATAATTAGAATGTAAAATTGATGTTGGATTTGAGTAAATGATGATATAATAGAATCATATTATGCTTTAATCGTGATTTTTACCAATTGGTTTGGAGTTTTGGGGTTTTAGGTTCATGTTGAGCAACTTTTGCACAGTTCGTAGGTCCCTTTCAAATTGATATCACCCTAGGCGTCAAATGGGCCACGTCAGGTGCCATTTGATACTATCCCTACAAGTTTTGGCATTGGACATGACCTCAATCATGCTGAGCATAAGTATGAGAGATAAGTTGTGGTCCTCTTCACGTCGAGAGCAATAATCATTGCATCAGGCACTGTATTGTTAGAATCAAGTTTTGTGATATTCATAAGAATTGTAGCCTTGGATGTTAGCTTTCAAGTGTCATTAGAATCATCTAAAAAAGAAGGTCTATAACTCAAGTTATGATCAAATTAATGA